CATGGAGGGAATTATTACAGCGCGTTTGGTGAAAAGGGCGTCGGCAGTCATGTCACTATGCTCACGGAGCGTTGCCTGAGGAGTACTAGGAGTACAACAAACACCGACAGGCACTACTGGTCTCAGCGTGCTCGTGGGCTGCAGACAACGGTCTTGAGCTATGCAGATCACAGCCAATTCTAGCCCTGGTTATAATAATTGTGATTATCAATCCAAACCCCATCTATCCTCACTTATCACGTGACAATATTATCAGTATTCACAGAAATAGACACGATAGATTGAAACTACTTACTCGTTCATCACCTCCTACCTAACTTCACTCAAAGCGTTAACGGTTGCTATGGCAACACAAAATTGCGTAATGGCAAATTTCAAACGCGCAAGACTCTCTCTTTTCACACATAGAAGGCAGAATGCCCGCTGGGCGATGAGCCCAATAAAATGCCCATTTATGCGCGTCTGCTCTGCAAGGTCCATTAGGATACCCTCCGTGCCCAAATCCTATTTACGCCAAAACCCATTCAGTCTGACGCGCAATTCTGTTCCCGGGTCGGAGAGGCAGCGGCGCGCCTACACGTTCTGTGTATAGGTCACAACGGTTACGAGTCCATTGCGTGATGTCACAACGCCAGAGCAGATCTGCACTTCAGCATTATTATTATTATTATTATTATTATTATTATTATTATTAAGTTAATATGTAAAGTAACTTGGACTTGGGCTAGAATTAAAAATGAGAGAGTTTGTAGAGAAGGCAACCAAATGATTTAGAAGAAATGGCAAGAAAGGAATTAGGCTCTGCTGCAGTGACAGTGAGACTGCTATAAATCCGTTGCCAGGATACGACCACTGAAGACTGAGATCACTTGTGTATGTGTAATGGTGAACTGTAACGTGTGTAGATCAGCGAAAGCGCTGCAATTAATTGTAGCTCTTGGTTACACGTACAAGGTGCCAGTAAATCCAATCATCCAATCTACACCCCGTCTAATAAAGTCACGCACACCTAAATCGTGACATTATTATTTTCCTTGGTGGGTTGCGTGAACCTTTACTCTGAAGAATGCTCTTTATAGGGCAGGGGGCATTCGGAATGAGTTTCTGGAACCAAGGGGTAGTGGTGGCCCGAAAAGAAATGTTTGGGGACAGATGCTGTACATAGATGTCTCTGTAATGCATTACACTTTCCGAACAATACGTGTATACGTTTCGCTGGAAGTTAAAAGCGAGCTTCGATTCTTGTTAAGGAGCTTATGTGATTAAAAGTTCCTTGAAGAAAATACAAATATTGTTCGCCTGGCTGGCGTCCCTCCTTCCTGCGTCTCATGAATCTCCCATCTCATAGAGACACATCTCATGAGAGAGGTTCTATTCATGTTACGAATTCGCAAGAGATGAGAACACACTTTTAATCAAAATATGATTTCAGAACTTTACAGAATAAGCAGACAAGGGAAACAGTGCACATCTTCTGCCCATTGAAACGTTAAAGTGAAATGCAAACTCAGTTTTGAGCCATCTGAGCCAGTTCTGGAGCACAGAGGAGCCTAAATCACAACAGATTACAGTCTAAACAAATTTGCTATCAGGTACGATCCGAGCTCATATCAGCCATAAAACACGTCGCATTCACAGCAAAAATACAAGATCCGCGGAAAACAATTGAACATGAATTCTCATGCAGGTTTGACTCTGACCACGTTACCTTGGAAACGAAATCGATTGTTGCTCGGTAGGCCATTGTTGGTTGCTGAGTACCGAACAACAATAACATCGGTCTGACCGGTAAACTCGGTTTCCACGAAATCGAAATGTCCCAGTTTGGTTCTCCAGTTCGCGTCCTGTCACTGTCCTCAAAATACTGACTGCCTACGGATTGTTACTTAGGGAGACGCTCTCTGTAAGCTGACAATATTAAATCAAAACAGTCTGAGTCCTCTTTGTTTTCTGAGCCCCATTTGAGGGGCCCCTATTTTTGCAAGCTGGAATGATCATATACACCTGTGATAGGTGAAATTATGAATACAAAGCAAACAAATTCCGTCCATGCGTTCGGGCGCTACTAACAGACAGACAGACAGAGAGATAGACAGACAGACGGTGAGATCGAATCCCAGTCTCAGATTCAGAGATGCCCACATGTACAAACTCGCCGAAATTTCGGGGTCAGGTTTTGTTTGCTGTCACAATGCGTTTTCTTCGTATGTGAAAAAGTGAAACTATGCAGAAAAAAAAGGTAAAGCTATCCCTGTAACAGGCAGTGGAGGCCCATAGGGTTGTGAGATGTTGAGGCTCCCACATTTTGTCTAGAAAATCGGTTCATAGATGGCCGTGAGGTTGTCAGGCTTACGCACCGGCCGCCCTTTACCCTCCAGGAAGATTCCTGGTACTCATGACTGTTACAGGCTAAGTCGACCCCAGGGCCACAGTGCGGCTGGGAGGATTAGGTCAATTGAAAAATCCAATGACTTCGTCGGGGATCGAACTCGCGACCTCTCGGCTTGCAGAATAGTGCCTCAACCAACTACGTTACCGCGTGCCTCTGTGAAACTTTGTAGGCTGTTAAATTGACATATCTTGTATAGACTGGCCTTTATACACACTCGCATGCACTCAGGAAACTTCTGTAAACTGAAAACAAACATCACTTATGTGGGACACCCGTGCAGTTTGGTACATGTTCGCCGATGATTCATATGACTGTAACGCCTCAGTCTTCCAATGTAAGGGAGTTAGCCAAGCAAGCAGAGAGCAAACTGAACTCCGCTTGGTTTCTTTGCTACCTCAGGGTGCAGGAAATACGTTTCTCCGAAACGTCGGTAAATCTCTACCAGATTACGGGGCGTCACATCTCAGAAGACTGTATTCTTCCTTGTCGACGCCGTCAGAACCTAAAATCCAACAAATATCAGTTAAATTGGAGGCAACACATAAGCACGCTGCAAGGTGATACACTGCTTTAACGCGAAATAAGTGTCCACTATACACACTGTCACGATTTTGGTGACTATAGACGGGGTTTGGTTCGATAAACGGATTTACTGAAGTCTTAGAACGGGTAACTACAAGTAAGGTTCATGCTCGCGCTGTTCTACACTATGGGACACGCCATGTCTTTACAGTTATTGGCTGTTGCTTGGTAGCGGCTTCCAACGGCTAACGTTCCCCTTCATCTGAGTTCCAGTACTGTCACCGGCCTCGGCTACCAGCTTCTAACAGCAACAGTTCACAACACCTGAACCCCAGTGGTTATCTAAGTGCAACATCTAATTTTCCTACTTACATCTTAAAACGGACCGCATATAAAACACAGCTGCCTAATAACGGCCGTTGTATAGCTATTTATTTCGTGGTCGTTGCCTAGTAACCGATCTACATACCACAATACCTTAGTTCTTCAAAGAGGTGTTCAGTAATGAGACAAAAAAGTAAATCCCTTAATTATCGGAACACAGTTTCATCAATGGCAAGTCGGCTCAGCCAGTAAGGCTTCTAACTTCGAATCTGGTCTGGGACAACGCCTGAGGTTTTTTCGTGGCATTCTTCAGTCCTTCCACGTAAATACCAGGATGATATCTCAAGACATGACCGCTTCATTCCAAATTCTTTGCAATTCATCATTCACTAATCACCTAACATTCAACGCTACAAATTCTGTGCTGCTATTAGTCACGAACGCATAGATACACAGAGAAGATGGCGGAAGGCAGCCCCCTTCCACTTGTAATTAGCGAGGAACAGACGAGACATCTGACGGAGGGTCTGTGATACGCTGGCCCCATCTAAAGGTCAAGTTTCCCAACTTCGAGAGTTTACAAAAACAAAGCATCAAAGCCGGGTGGAGGAGCGGCAGAATCTGTCTACGCTTTAATAAATATTCGGGCCGTGAAAGCAGGTCAGTATCTCGTCAGGGGCGACATGCAGCGACTGAAGGCCGTGCCGTCAAGTTGCTATACTCTGTTCACGCTTCGCAGGGCCTCTGTAGGGTAAAGCGTGGCACACCGCAGTTCGATTCGAGGTCCTTACAGTGGTGATGGTGAAGTATATGATCATCTGGGCTGTGCTTCCGTGTAGTTCGGTAGTTCCACAGACGTTTCGGAGAAACATATCGCCTCCAACCCCAACCTCGAAAAGTAAAGGAAGCAAGAAATATGCGGCAAGCAGCTTCCTATACAACTCACTCTTCTGTACTGAAGATGAAAGTAATACGTTCCTCCGAAACGTCTATGGATATCTACCAAACCACACAGCGTTACAACCCAGAGATCATACATTATTTGACAGTAACTAAAATTAAGGGCCGGTCACGGTAGCGGTCTAAGGCATGCACTGTCTTCGTTCGCTTGGAAACCGGGATCGTGTGTTCGAATCCCACTCGGGGCATGGATGTTTAGTTTGTGTGTGTGGGTTTTTCTGTATTTGTGTACAGGTAGAGGCCTTGCGACGAGCTGATCACCCGCCCAAGGAGTCCTACCAAATGTGTAAGATTTAGAAAAACCGAAGTGAACGGAGAAGTTCATGGAGGTAGGCCTAGGCCCACTGGGGCTGTAGTGCCAAGGAAAGAAAAAACTGAAATTAAGAACAGTTCTGTCTCCTGAGATATAACGCCGTCTAGCCCCTTGAAAGTCAATCGACGTTTCGGAGGAACATGTCGCATACATATTCAGAGTCAAAGAATAAATAAAGCAAGAAACTGACCTGAACACAGTAGTAAATATAGCATATATATATATAT